GATAAATATCTTACCAAAATTTTCAGGAAAAAAAAGAGGAGACATAAATTACCATTGTCGGGAATGAAAGAGGGAACATCACTACTGATCCTACAGATGTTAAAAAATAAGAAGGGAATATTAGAAACAATTTTATGTCAGTATGTTTGACACATAGATGAAATAAACAAATTCCTTGCAAGATACAAACTACCAAACCTCATCAAGAATAATTAGATATCCTAACTAGTCTACTAATGAAATTGAATTTGTAATTAAAATTCTTCCCACAAAGAAAACTCCAGACCCAGATGACTTTGCATCCACTGACCTTGCTAAATTCACTAGTTCTGATAACTTTTTTGAGGATTCCATGGATGGTCATGTCATCTGTGAATAAAGAGAGCTTTACTTGTTCTTTTCCCATCTGTAGAATTTTAGCATCTTTGAAATGTTTCTTACAATCTGTAACGTCTTACAATCGCTGTTGGCTAAGCAAACTTGGTCAGAGCTGTTCATAATGTTGTCATTTAAACTGAATTTCTTGCGTTGTTGGTACTACGTTGTTGAGTTAATTGTAATTTTGTTGTCGTTGTTAGGCGCCGACAAGTTGATTTTTGACTCATAGGGACTCCATGTGACAGAGTAGAACTTCCCCATCGTGTTTTCTAGGCTGTACTCTTTATGGAAGCAGATGACCAGGTCTTTCTCCTGCGAAAGCTGCTGGGTGGGTTTGAACCACCAACCTCGTGGTTAGCAGCTGAGCGCTTAACCTTTGAGCCACCAATGTCTCCTAATTGTCATTTAAAATGTCTTCAGAAAGATTACACTGTGACTTAGGATTGTACTCAAAAAGCTACTGTGTACAAAATTCAACATCCTTTGATGAACCTCAGTAAACTGGGTATAGGAACTTTATCATTCTGATAAAGAACATTTATGAAAAAAACCTAGAGGTAACCTCATCCTTAATGGCAGAAGACTGATGCTTCCCTCCCAAGATCAGAAACAAGACAAGGATGTCCTTTGCTCTTTAAAAGAAACTTAAGAAAATGGAAAGTCCATCCACAGACTGGGAAGAAATATTTGAAAAAATGTATATCTGATAAAAGAATTTTATGCAGATATGTAAAGAAGTCTTAAAATTCAATAAAAAGTATACAACCAACCCAAATTTAAAAATGGGCAAGAAATTTAAATAGATGTTTCACCAAAGAAGATATATGAATAGGTTAGTGGGGAAATGGAAATTAAACCCACAATGGGATATCATTACGTAGCCACTAGAATGGCTAAAATTAAAAAGATTAATAATGCCAAATGTTGTTGAGGATGTGAAGCAACTGGAACACTCATATACTCCAAAATGGTACAGGCACTTTCGACAACAGTTTGGTAGTTTCTTTAAAGTTAAACATACACTTGCCGTAGGACTTGGCTATTTTGCAAGAACACACAAAATTGAGATTATTCTTCTAGTGATGAATTTTTACTAATTTCAAATGTATGCCCCTCTGCTCTCTTTCCATGCATTTTGTGTACACAGTAGCTTTTTTAGTACAATCCTGAATCACAGTGTAATCTTTTCAAAGACATTTAAAATGGCAATGAAACTCAACAATGCATTACCAACAATGCAAGTAATTCAATTGAAATGGCAACAAAATAAGCATGTCTGACCAAGTTTGCCTAGCCAACAGTGATTGTAAAACACCATGGATTATAAAACAGATTCCAGAGATGCTAAGTTAAAAGAACAAAACCAAAAACATTTCTTAGGATTGATGAAATAATAACAACAGTACTTACAATAATAATATCAGTCAGTGAATTAATAGTTAACATACGGTCACCATGAGTCGGAAACAGACTCAACTGTAACTAACAACAAAAACAACAACAAGAATGATGAAGTCAGGAGTCTGGACACTATTTCATTACACTACAGTTAGGGGGCCAGATTTCTCATGGTGAACAGTCTATGTCCAGTGATCAGTGGTCCCTTTTTTGATCTTTCTTGTCCTTTCAGTTGATGTGATCTTACTAGGCACCTGTCACATCATTGTTTTACTATAGCTGTAAACCCCTTGCCGTCGAGTCAATTCCAACTCATAGG